TATCCGTTCTAACCCGACCGCTCAGCAGTTTCATGGAGTGCCCACAAGTTCTTGTATTGTGAGAAAGGGAGAAAAGTACCTCTTTCTCTACCTGCTCTTTCCCATGCATAATCTTATATTATATTATAAACATAGCTGCTCTGTAGGGCAGACTCTGTGTAATTATACCCCACTGAGGTTCCTTCCCTTCTCCTAACCCTGCCCTCCCCAGGTTCCACCCCCAAATTTTCAGGAGTTTCCAAACCCGGAGTTGGCAACCTTATTGCTTTAACCTCTTAGGAAGAAGCACGGCATAAATGCTGAGTATTAGTTTATCAGAAGGGAAAATCCAGGACAAAACCCACAGAGTGCCCTGACTTGGATAGCCCAGGCAAGCTCGATCTCGTCAGATCTCGGAAGCGAAGCAGGGTCGACTCTGGCAAGTCCTTGGATGGGAGACCTCCTTGGGATGCCAGCAGTCGGGAGGCGGGGTCAGGCTTTATTCAGCCACCTCTCTGAATATCCTCCAGGCCCCTACTATAGGTCAGTCACCAGAGGTCGCCATGACTTCTTTGATTTTAGGGTTTTTCCACATTTTCATTTCCCCCACTTGTAAGTTCCTACTTCTTGGGGGCGGGTCTGTTCTGCACATGTTTAGCTCCCTCTAGTGGCCGATTCACTATTACACCAGTTTATGACTAGTGTATCTCCCTGTAGTTTTACACTGCAGGTTTTTATGCCAGACAGGAACTTACAAGGAAGGAAAATGAGAATACAAAATAGACCTTTGCGTTGTGTTTATATGTTTTTGTTGAATCGTTTCCTATATTATTTTAAATGCTGCTTTCATGTTCAAACGTTTTCATGTTTGCCACCCTTGAGACCCTATCTGAGTGGAAAGGCAGCGTTGAAATGTTTTAAAGAAAACAATAAAAATAAATATGCGGAGAAGTCTTAACTCCCCTCCATTTCACTATGTCTGAAGAACTGTGCTTACACACGAAAGTTTATACCTTAAATAAAACTTTGTTGGTCTTAAAGTTGCCACTGGACTCAAACTTTGTTTAGCCTTTCAAATACTTAGAGTATCTTTTTTCTTTTTAAAAATCTTATTTATTTGCTGTATTTTAAGTTTTTTTCTCTTGTTCTTTTTCTGTTTTTTTTTTAAAATAATTAATTAAAAATTAAAATATGTGTGATTCAGGCCTTAGAGGTGCTTGGGGAATGGGATGGTTTTTAAATCCTGTCTTCAATACCAAAGAGAACAATAAATGTCTTTAAAATGAAACAATAAAATGACCAATCTATTCTTCGAAAGACCCATGTTTACAGAGGTGTCAAAAATGAACATTGCAAGGATTTAATCTGTCTTTGAGAGAAATGGCAAGTTGGCGGCAGCTCCTGTACCCCAAATAGTTTAATGAAACCGAGAACCAACCTGGAAGGATGTGATCCCACCAGATTTTAATATAATCATCTCGGTCTGTCCTGGCCTGCTCATGATAGAATCCCAGCGCATGTAAAATTTCATGTGACACAGTGCCTTTGTTATCACATCCTTCACCGACAGAAAGGTTTTGGCCTGTCTTCAAATCTCCCAGTGAGGACCAGCACCTGAGAAAAAGAAACACAAAGAATGGGTGCTTAATCGATATATAACTCTGTGGCGAGGAGTCTTATTCATCCATATTCAGTGATGGCCCAGTCACACAGTCTTTAGCAGTCTCCTCAGAAGAGACTGGAGTTTTGGTCCACTGGGAATTCTCACTGACGGATTCCTAGCAGGGCTTTCCCCACCACCACCTTTGGAAAAATTGGTGCCAGAACTCTCATGAGGGAAATGAAGTTTTCAATCTGTGTACTCAAAACTCCAGAACTTTTAAACATTTGTAAAAGAATTTTGTCAAAGAGATTCCAGGACTTCACTGTGGCGCGTTCCTCCAGAAGAAAAGCCCTGGAGCAGAGGACGACTTCCTCATTTCTCTCCTCCCGCTATAGCCCCAAACGCCCCCACACACACACTGCTCCCAAGAACAACATAAGCGGGGAAGCTGATGAAACTGGTCTCTCCCGCTTCCGTCCACCGAAATCCTCTACTGACTCCAACGTGCCTCGTGCAGATACGTTTGCGGGAAAAGGCGTCTTCATTCTATAAGCCAAACCGTTCAGGTCTCTTACTCACCCTTCAGACTTCTGAAACATTATAAACGAGCTCTCTCCTTCGTAAGGTTTAAACTGCACACACGACTTTAAGCCGAATCCTTCGAATGCTTTAAGGATCACCCCTTTGGCATTTAGATCTGAAAATATAATTTGTAACAATTACTTTTAGCATTCACCCTCCATCTTTATGTTTCTGAAGACGGAATAGAGCACACAAGGAAGAATACTCAGAATCACAGAAAGTTGGAAGGGGGCCCTAGAGGCCATCTAGTCCAG